ATTGGCTGGACTCCTTAGCCTGAGGACGCCTGCGCGAGTCTCCATTTTCCTTTCGTCTTTTGGGGTTGCAGCTGCGCTTGTTGGTGAGTAATCTAATCTAATTCTAATCAGAGAATTTTCCGCTTGCCGCGGCAGGAGGAGAGGGTGGGGGCAGCGGCAGCCGCCCGCACAGAACTTCCACGCGCTGCAGGGGCTTCTGCCGGGCGGCGGGAGCCCCGGAAGCGAGAGGAAGTTCTGTGCGGGCAGCTGCCACTGCCCCCACCCTCTCCTCCTGCCGCGGCGAGCGGAAAATTCTCTGATTAGAATTAGATTAGATTACTCACCAACAAGCGCAGCTGCAACCCCAAAAGACGAAAGGAAAATGGAGACTCGTGCAGGCGTCCTCAGGCTAAGGAATCCAGCCAATCAGTGAGCGGCAGGCTGGGCTCCATCCCAGCCAGCTCACTGATTGGCTGGAGTCCTGGCCAATTAAATCAGTGAGCGGCAGGCTGGGCTGGCTTAAATTTGTAGGTAGCAGATAGAACAGAATGATGAGCCAGCCCAGCAAGCTAGCAGCTGATGGGCGGGAGCTGCGAGCGCCAAAAAAGCGTGCTTTTTTAAAAAGCGTGTGGGACGCGGGAAAATGCATTAAAAAGCGGGGGTGTCCCACCAAAAGCGGGACGTCTGGTCACCTTACTCTAAGAAGGTTCTGCTTCCAGTTTTAACTCTCCTGACTCTCTCCCCCTCCCACCTTCTAATTTCTTCCTTTCTTTTTTGTATTGTCTTTCTTTTTAAAAAAATTAATCTATTCTTTTCTTTTCTCTCCTGATTCCAGAGATTTGTCCATAAATAGGAACACTATTTATGACCATTTAATTCAGGTCCACAGAGGATTTCAGGTCTTCACCCTCATGAAAACTACCTATTGTTGTTTCTCCATGCCTATAAGAGCAGTTATTATCCATGTTTTCCTTTTTGCCCTGAGGTTTCCTATCTCATTCATCCATAAGTAAAAATCTAGTTTTTCTGTATTATCATACAGTACAACAAACTCTTTCATTTTAATATTCTAAATACTCTTCCTATTATGATTCTTGTGTGGGAGAACAGCTTTCAGTTTCTTTAGAGAACCTTTTTTGGTAGCCATTTCCTCCACCAGACAAAGGGCTTCCTCTTGCACCCTCTCAGACATTCTTTTCTTCCCCATCCCAAAATCTCGCAAGGTGGACAGTGTGAAACGTCGTAGCTCCCTCCATTTCTTCTCATCAGTAGTAGAGAATCCTGAAATAAAAAACACCAAAACTATCAAGATGTCCATCAAATCTCAGCTTTGGTGGAGGATAATATTTAGACATAATGTGATGTTTCAGGCACTTTCCTTTTTCAACTCTTTTTCTCAATCATAGTTGAAATAGGCCACTGCATTGTAATAAATTATGCATCACAGAATGTTACTTCCTCATATTTAATGTAAACCTGATTTGATGTTTGAAATACTAATGAAGCAAACTTCACAGTTTCCATCTTTCCATTCTTGACTGCTGTTGTTATATATTAAATGTATATATTTATGCTAAAGTGGATTTAGATGACCCTGACTGTTAAATTGGGCTAAAGTCAAACTAACATTTACATGACTCCAATTGTTGGAAGGAATTCAGAATACTTATATGGGGGCTGTTTTTTCTAGTTTATGATTGGTTAAGGCCCTGTTGGCCTAGAGTATAAATAACAGGCATTTGCCTGCAGTTCTTCAGTTCCGTTTTTGAGTCAATAAAAGCTGTTACAGTTATGCTTGTCTGGTTCTTGCCCACTAAAGCCCACTACACAACAGCTGTCATATGAAGAGAAGAATGAATGAGGCTATGAAAATCATGTCACAAGTTTCTGTAATTGTGTTTTAGATATAAAGAAATCCCTGCACTAGCTATGGAAGTCTATATTGAGATCCCAAATGTATTTTTTCAGGTGAGGTCATGTAATTGAGAGGGCATGGCCAACTCAACGTCACTCATGGCAAGGTGGAGTGGCATTGAGTTGGCCATGCCCAATCAGGGAAAATTCCTACATATCTCTCCCTCTGCCGCCCTTGGGCTGACAAAATAAAAATAAAAACCCATCTAAAGAATGCTGGCAAAAGGAGGCTAGGGGAAAAAAAGAGAAAGGCTGATAGAAACACCCCGTTTTTCCACCTCCATTGGGCTGTCTGTGTCCTGCTGGATAGGGATAGGGAGGGAGTGAAGCAAAAAGCCTATTTAATTCCTTGACGTATTTCTTTTCAGCTTTATTGGAATTGTTTGGAACTGATATAATAATCTCAGTAGAGCATTCATTTTAATAGTGGCTATTCTTCCTATTAATGATAATGATTTTCCCACTTTTCCAGGTCCAGTTTAATTTGCTGTATCAATTTGCTGTAATTATTTTCTTTTATATCTTGCTGATAAATGGATATCCAAGTATTTTACCTTCTTCACTATCTGAATATCTGTCTTCTCCATTAATTTTTTTTCTGTTTAACTGTGGTTTTTGACTAAAATTTTAGTTTTCTCTTTGTTTACTTTTAATCCTGCAACTTCCCCATAGTCATCTATTTTCTTCATCAATTTGGCTCCAGTTGTTTGCAGTTCAGCTATGATAAATACCAGATCATCTGCAAATGCCTGTAATTTGTATTTTTCTTTTCTTTATCTCCATCCTATTTATTTCTGTCTCATGCCTAATATTTCTATTTAACACTTCCAATGTCAAAATGCATAGTAAAGGACATCCCTGTCTTGTGCCTTTTTTGATGTTAACATTCTCCATTACATTCCCATTTATAATAACTTTTGCAGTCTGTTTTGTATATATTGTCTTAATCATATTAATGAATTTTTCACCAAATTCCATGTATTTTAATTGCAATATTATAAATTGCCGATTTATATTATCAAATGCTTTCTGTGTGTCTAAAAAGATCAGTGCCATTTGTTTTTCAGGGTGTGCTTCATATATTCCAATGTATTCAAGATTATTCTCATGTTTTTTTAATTTGTCTCTTAGGCAAAAATCCATTTTGGTCTGAGTGTATAAATTCATTCAAAAATCTCTTTAAGCTTTCAGCTACTATTGATGCATAAATTTTATAATCCACATTTAAAGTGAGATTCAACTATAATTTTTAATCTGCAATAAATCTGCATCTTTTTTTGGTATAAGAGTAATATTTGCTCCTATCCAGGGTTTTGGTATCTTAGCTTCTAGCAAGACTTCATTATAGACTTCCAGCATTGACGGTCCTAAGGTGACTTGTAGTTGTTTGTAAACTTCCACCCGTAGGGCATCTGGCCCTGGTGTTTTATTGTTCTTCTTTCTCTTAATCGCCTAGGTTAGGTCAAACATTGTTATCTTTTCATTTAACATAGTTCTTACTACTTCAGGTACTTTAGGCTGCATGGCTTCTTCCAAATATTGCTTCATTTTATCCTCTGATAGTTCCTCTTGATCGTACAAATTTTCATAATAGTTCTGGATTATTTTCTTTTTGTTATAATTTTGGTAATGAAGCATAATCTTCTTGTCTATCATACTTTGTATCTACTTTTTTCTTGTTCTCTTTTTAAAATTTATATCCCAGCCCTTTCCCTGGTTTGCTACTTTTCAAAAATGTTTTGTTTTGCACTTTTATTTTTTCATGCCAATTCTTCTTTTTCAATAAAGGGCAATTTATGTTTTATTATTTCCATTTGATTTTTAAAATTCTTTTTTTTTGTGGTTCTTTCTGTAGCTCTGATTCTAATCTTTTATACTTTTCTTCCAGTGTCTTTTGATGTTGTTTCTTTTTCTTATTTTTTTTCCTTTGTAAATTATGCTAGTCCTCGAAAATATCCCTTAGCTGTATCCTATACATTTTGCAGTGAGGCCTCTTCCATTCTACTATCTTTAACTTCCTTTCTTTTTCAGTTATTTGTATAAATTCTTTATCCTTTAATATAGATTGATTCAACATCCATTTCCCTTTTTTTTGTGTTCTTTCCACTTGATCCAAACTGGATTATGATATGCCAATATATTTGGTTCTATGTCTATTTTTTGTACATTAGTGCTTAACTCGTGTCATATCCATTCTTGACCAAGATTGGTGTTTATTTGAATAATATGTATACTGGTTTTTCTTAGGATTGCTTTCTCTCCACACATCTTGCATGCACTTTTCTTCCACCATTTTAAAGAAAGTTTTGGTAAAGTTTTCCTTTTTTTTTTGCATAGTTCACTGCTTCTATAGTCAGGTTTTGCATCTGTAATTGCATTAAAACCTCTTATTACACAAATATTTTCATACATACATACAGTTCTGCAATTTTCTCATGAAGTTTTCCATAAAATTCTTCTTGTTTATTGTTTGGTGCATATATTGCTATCAGATCACACTTGTTTGTAGTTTGTTATTACTTCCACCATCAATATTCTCCTGTCTTCATCTGTATAAATTTGCTTAGCATTTATTGTTTCTTTAATATATAAGATCTCCTCCCTTTTCTTTTATAGTTTCCCAATTTTGGGATATTCTAAAAAATTGTGATATTGTCTTTTGATATGTACTTCTTGCAAGAAAATTATATCTATTTTCATTTTTTTGCAATTTGGTAAGGGTTCTTTTCCTTTTCATGGGAGAATTTAGTATATTAGTATAATCAACAATAATTTTATTTCTTCTTCCATTGTTTAACTTATAAATAGATTTTGCTGTTCTAGTTGCTCTTATTTCTCTCTACTTTTAGCTCTTGCTCCTTCTCATTCTGTTTGTGTTTTTTTTTGTTCAGTTTCACTTTCTTCTTGTTTACTTTTGGTTCCTCCTGCCATTAATTCCTTTTGTTCTCTATCTTCTGTTTCCTCTCTTCTTTTATGCTCCTCATCTGCATTGAAATGGTACTCATAGAATTCATATGCTTTATCTAGTGAATCCAATCTGTGCCTTTCGTCATTCCATGTAATCAAAATTCCTTCAGGTATCAATCATCTGAAATTTATCTGATGTTGATCAACTGTCCTGTCAGGATTTGGTATTGCTTCCACAGGTTTCTTACATGTCTAGGAACCTATTTTAAAACCACAACCTCTGTCCCTTTATATTTCAATAGTTCATCCATTACTTTTTAAAGAATTTCTGCTCCTATTGATGAATCTCACATGCACCTGCCTTGGGAGTTTCTTCTTTCTTGGATAACTCATATGTATTATAAACACTTCATCTAAACACTCCACCCTCATATCCTGTACTGTTATCTGAAGGGCCTGTGCCAATAACTCTGCCATCAATTTAGCTAGATCTTCCTCTTTTTCTTCTTCTTCTACATTCTGGAATCTCAGAAAATGTTCAGCCTTTTCCATTTGCAATTGAATTACAGTTCCCTCTAATTTCTTATTAGCCTGTGTTAGTCTCTGGTTCATTTCCTCTGAATTTTTTTCCTCTGTTCTGATTTTGCTTCAATTGTTTTGTTCTTTTCTTTGGTTTTGGCTAACATTGCCTGAAAGTTCCCAGTTTTTCATTCATGCTTTCCATTTTCTCTTTCATCTCTCCCATCTCCATCTTCATCTCTCCCATATCATTCTTCATTTCATTATGGTTCTTGGCTATGGCCTCTTGTAGTGATTGAAACAATGCCTGTGTCAACTTGTAAAGCGTTACCATGACTATTATCAAGTTGACAAATGCACGATATACATATGTGCGCCGACAAAACCGCGACGGACAAATGAGCACTGTCAAAATCGCTAATCAATTTTCGACAATAACGCGATGACAAATGTGCGACGACAAAATCGCATGCCGGGCCTTTAACATAGTGGAATGCCTTTAAAAACGTACATTCTAATGCAGTCAGCACACACCAGTTGAAGCCATGGATATTATTAAGTCACAGAAAGGAAAACAACAATTGCTGTATAAAGGATATCGATATTGACGTGACAGTTAAATCAAGATGGATCGTCTTCATGGAGGTGCATTAAAAGAGTGTGCTGGCAGATTTAAGAAGAAAACAGATGGGACTTAACAAACAAGTACTAAACACATGCATGTGCCAGATACCGCAAAAAATGAAAGTGAAATAATAAAAGGGACTATACGTGAACGAGCTGAAAATGG